AGAGAATGACAAGGATACAGTGGGCCCAATTCTGGCGTGCCAACTTATATCTAAAACTAACTAAAATTAGATATAGAGTTGTCAAATTCAATTTGGTATTCTGTAATGACAACCTATCTCTAAATTTAAAATTGACGTCGCTAAGTTATTCAACTTAGATTTAGATGATTAAATGGTATTCTGAAACGCGTTCTAAATGTCATATTTTCTCTAAAATTAGAAATGTCACACTAAATTTAAGAAGGACCTACGGAGGTCCTCTCTAAATTTAAATGTGATAAATCGGGCCAAATAGTAGGTAAATTATTGATGTACTTAAATTTTAAACTTGTTGTTAAGGTTGGATATGGGTTTATTTCGTTAAAAAAAGCCATAAATTTTGTACAATAATGAACGACGACGGTGCTAATAATATATTAGCTATCTCTTTTATTTTTTTTAAAAGGTAGGTAAGTCTATGTTACGATGCGGATTTATTATGAGCCTATTAATGTGTCATGAGTCACTACGCAGCATATCTCTAACTAGTCTGTGCTACGCAGGCCTAATGCAGCTTAGGCTAATGACTGCAGATGCAGCGAGCAGCAAGATAGAAACTCGAATTAATACATTTTTGGTTGGTCACCCATCCTAAGATCGGCCATTGTGAAAGTTGCTTAACTTCACGATCGCAGAACGAACGCGTTACACTTGCGTTATTGTGGTCCTTCGTAGGTAATGTATACGTATATCTTGTATAAAATACTGAATAATTTAAGGTCAAATCTTTTTTATCATAAATAAAAATCCACTTCATATAAAAAACAAAATAAAGAGGTAAGATATCTATGTGCTAATTCCTTAAGTAATACCTACAGTACCTACTTATATCTAAAGTACATAGTCAAATAATTAACAAATAATAGGTATGGTGTCAGTGATATGCATTTCAATCACCAATTCCAATCCAAATGTTATTTTGACTAAAATGTAGGACTTTAATTTGTTACTTTGTTTTTAGTGGTTTTGTTTTTATGAAGCAATTTTTAATATTTGTTAGAAATGATTTTATTTCCCACTTTTTATAAGCTAATAATAACATAACACGAAATAAGTTCCTACTGTTTGTAATTGAGAAGTTTGCTTTTATATATCCGAAAGTTTTTGGCATTTAACAAATGAATAATTGGGATTTAGGACGATATCACCAAAAACTGATAGAAACAAAAAAAGGTAAAAAAATAGGTTACGCATCTCGGATTATAAAATAAATGAGTACAAAATCTTCACAAAACAGCCGAGGGGATAATTACAACCTCTTACCGAAACCGGAATTTATAACCGTAGGTACCTAGGAAATTTTCAAGGATGATTTACGTGAGACCGTGTAGGCCGTAGCAGAGTTAACGAATCATCATCATTATCATCAGCCTATTAATGTCTCCATTGCTGGGGCACAGGCCTTCCCTATGGATGGAATAGGGAGATTGGGCCATGACCCACCACGCGGGCTCAGTGCGGATTGGCGGGTGACCGGTTGACCACCTGCGCCATCGAGCTCTTCTAGTCAACTCATATTAAATAATATATTTTTTATGGATTATGGACACATTCACGCTATTCCGTGTGGTAACCCTCTGACAACCGAGCACCAAATGAAACAACGCTCGGAAAAAACTTGGTCTCGCTTCGGCTCGGCCACGGCCCGTTGCATGAATACAGCGCCGGCGCGGTGCCGCCGGGCAATCGTAGTGATACCTCAGACAAAACAGAAACGTTTTCCTCGGACGAGTACACTTACCGTGTTTACTTTATCTGAATGATTATACTGCATCACGGCGCAACGGTACCTACCTAATTGCTCGGTCGAGGTACGTCTTTGTAAATTACAAATTCGGGACCGGCTCGGTGACCGTGTTACGGCTGAAGCTCGGCTCGAACTCGACACGTTCTATCGTCACTAATCATCCTTATTAGATTTTTCGGTAGCTACCAAAATGTAGTCGGTACCTATATTTAAATTTAATTTTAAAAGTGGCGGCTTTCTTTTCTTCCTTTTGCCAAAAAAAACTTAGGCATGCTCTAAGAAAAAATATGATTCCTAAAGTTCTCCCCGTAGATTTAATTTCTCCAAGTTCATATTTTTCCCCAAAATAACGATAAACACTCCCAATCTAGAAACCCTGAGTACCACAGAGTAGGCAAGTATTCACTCTTTAATATTATTCATAAATATCTCATACAGTAAAATAACAAACTTATGTTAAGTTTTCATATTTCAAAGATGATGAAGAACAACAAAGAATTACTGAAATAAGTCAAAATCACTGAATAATAAGTATTTATTGCTAATTTGAGTAAACCGATAATTACCGGTTCAATGCTTTTACATAATCTGTGAATTCAATTTAGATGCTCGATTACAGCTGTCACTTGTGATCTTAATTTAGTTAGTTCGCAATTTCGGAATACCAATTCACTAAACCTAAACTAAAATTAGCTCGCTAATTTTAAGTTTAGGTTTAGAGAATGTAACGCCAGAATTGGTCCCACTGTTGTCAAATTTAAGTTTAGGTTTAGAGAATCATGCCAGAATCGACACAATTGGCTGAACTGAACGCACAAACCGTGCATGCCATAAAAAAAATTAAGAAGTGAGTGCTGTTGATTATCTATATTTATCCGTAATATTACAAAGCCTTAAAAAAACCTTACAGTGCTTACTTTGGGGCTAGGCTAATTGGTGTGAGTGTTGGAAATATTTATTTATTTATTTCCGATTCCTTTTTTCCTATACTGGTGTCAATTCTGGTGTGATTCTCTAAACTTAAAATTAAGTTTAAGGTCAGTCTCACCTTTCCATTCTGTATAGAAAAGGACAAGGATGCACTGTTGTCAAATTTAAGTTTAGGTTTAGAGAATCATGCCAGAATCGATACCACTGTTTCCATAATTTCTGACAATGGCTGAATGCACAAACCGTGCATGCCATAAAAAAAAGAAAAGGATTTTTGGCGGGATTTCATCGAGTGCGGTTGGCGTCTTAATTTAATTATTCTGAAATTATTTCGTAGTGTATATTGTGAAATAAAATTGGTGTGATTTTGTGTTAAACCGTCTGCCCAACTGAAGGATTAGTGGAATCTTTAAAATATACTCTATTCCCGTCAGGTGGACGTGAGAATTTTACTGTAGTGTTGACTATCTCGCAGAAGCTTGCCGAAAAAGCCAACTCGATACATTTCGTGCCAAACACTACAAGAAACATTAAAATGAGTCACACCGACATTCTAATGTAAAAAAAACGAAGATTCATCAAACTAAAGATTTGGCTGTATGGGTATTGTTCCCTTTGCCTTCCCTGAAAAACAAAAATAAAAAAGAAGAACTTAGCAGCGTGGAGCGGTGGAGAGATAAATAAACGATGTCGATTCTGGCATGATTCTCTAAACCTAAACTTAAATTTGACAATAGTGTGTCTTTGTCATTCTCTATACAGAATGAAAAGGAAAGGAGAGACTGATGTTAAATTTAGTTTTAAGTTTAGAGAATCACGCCAGAATCAACTGTAGTTGTAGGTTTACTCATATTAAATACTACTCTTTTAATACAGCTGTTGTACACGACACCGAAGTGTCCAGCGTCCGCTAGGATCACTATATAGTTTGTGGAAGTGTCGCTGAGGACGATAAAGAAAGACATGCTGAGGAGTGCATTTTCTTGAGTTTTAATCCTGGTTATTAGATTTTTTACTCTCAGATATCGGTAAGGTTTTTTATCATTTACTTATAAATAAACATATTTAATTAGTACCAATCTATTAGGTAGATATAGATGTTTTTTTTATAATTAAACTACATTCCGTTGAAATATCATTAAACTAAGCTAAATTCATTAGCATCTTTTTTAATATTTTGCTAAATTTCCATCTATACCTAATTATAAACTTCTTATGGCTATTGATATGCTCAGGACCATTATTACATCAGAGCTGCGGTTTCTGTAATTTTCTAATTATTCACACATTTCCGTGACAAAAATCTTAGCTCGCTACTCAACCACAACTAATGGAAAGCTGAGCCTTCAGCTTTCTGAAATAGTGGGTCATGACCTGGCTCAGATAAGCTAAGACCAACTGAACCGATCAACTATAATATTCATGTGCCTAGCAAGGACTAGAAACATCTCCATCGACCCTCAAGTTCAGTGCTGGAAAATGATTATCATTATATATATAAAATACGCATCACATTGTTTGTCCGGGATAGACTCCTAAACTATTTCACTGATTTTAATCAAATTTGCACAAGGTATGCAGTTTGATCCAACTTGAAAGATAGGATAGCTTACATCTCAATTTATAGTCACAATATTATTTTATTGCAAGTTATTACTTTTAGACTGTATCAATTTCACAGAGTCAGCTAGTGCATTTAAATCAATTTTAGAATAAATATTAGTTTGACTGGATGGCTGGCCCCCTATGAAATAGCTAAGCCACATACAGTACTGTCTCATCATTTACAATTAATCAAATTTGTTTATGATCAAGATATATGTTTCCTTAAATGTTAATGAAAATTCTCATTCCTCTGTTGTTGTGGTGATTGTGGTAATATTTTGTTAATTGTTCTGCATTCCCAGTACTCTATCCATCACTCTGACCTAAAATTATTTGGAAATTGTCCTATTTATATTAATAATGAGGGAATGTTTGTAGTATTTAAGTTACATGTAGTCTCTTTCACTTTTAATGTATAATATACTTAATTTACTATGTCTAATATTTCGGCAATAGTATAAGCAAATACTGATGTCCCTAATAAATAAATATTAAGTTGTAAATGTACTTAATGCAGAATAATCCAATTCATGCTTAGGTAATTATCTATATTATAATGAGGGAGAGAATAACTGAAACACTTGGAAAAGACTACTAATTCCTGGGAAAAGTATATGCAGTATTTCAAGATAAGATTGTTCTTTATCTTCTTATTAGCCATTTCGAGGAAAGATATGTATAAACTCTAATTATCATATCTGTAGTCCAATCAGTAAAGAACAAGTTCATTATTTATTTCAACAACAAAAGCACTGATGATTATTTTTAACAAAATTGGTGTCAGCTCAATTTTGTAGAAATAGCAAGAAGTCTTCTTAAACTACTCCAAATTACTGTTACAAGAATAACTGTGCCTTGAGCCACTGAACTCCTGGCATCTCATATGGAGCGATTACACCAAATGGAATTCAGGTAAACAACTACCTAAGTATAAATATTTAAAAGTATCTAATTTTATAGTGAACCATGTCTGTGAAAAAGAAGAATTTGGATCTGTATTTAGCAGAAATTTTCAAAGAATACATTGCTATAAAAGATGAAAATTATAAGAAATCACAAGAGATATTTAATGCAGTGTTTGAAGAAGTTAAACTGAAAATGGGAGAGAAATGCAATTATTTCAAGAAATACAGCAGCCAGGTATTGTTTCATTTAATTATTAACTTTGAAATACTCAGTCCATAGACCAGCATTTTAACAGGCATACACAATTCAGTCTATCTATAATGAATAATTTGTAAATATTTAAACAGTCATGACTCATACAGTCAAATATTACACATTTTTTCACTGTTCTTCAAGCCGGATTTGAACCAGCGACCTTAGGATAGGAATAGATGTTTTGTGTCAACGACACATGCCCCCAGATTGGAACCCAAAACCTTTAGAGCTGGAAGCAAAAATGGCTTGTCAAATGCAGTCTTAAGGTGGGTAACACAGAGACGAGACGTGGCGCGGCGCGCATAGCGTGCATGCGCGCCGCGCGTCTTGAGCATTACAAAACAAAACTTAATTAACTACACAAAAATATACACATTTCATTGTGCGTAGCATAGCGCGACGCTGCAGGATATTTTCGAGTTCTCTCAATGAAAGGTGTATCTTGTGTAAAAAAATAAAATTTGGTATCACTGTCTTTAAAAGCCCTCTTGGTCCTACGACCCTGACTTTGTCGCGTCTCAGTGTGAATTGACACCTATTTCGAAAGTTTTTGAGTGTGTCTAGAAGCATGCACCGCCTCTTAACACTCTTCAAGTTATCAGAGCAACTTTTACTCCAAAAACTATCCTAAATTTCCATATTTTTTTGTTTGTCCGTATGATAATAATACGGGTCACTACACTGCAAAAAGCAGTAGGTAGTTGTCACGTTTCTACAATTTTCGTCCAGACTTTTATAACAGTCTAGGCAGATTTGTGATCTTATTATGATTTGAAAAGAGATCAGTTTTCCGATTCAACAATAATCATTATCATCAGTTGAAGGTCGTCCACTGCTGGACATAGGCCTCTCCTGGAATTTCTAAACACAACGGTCCTGCGCTGTCCGCATACTTAGGTCGCCCCATATTTCGTGCTCGCTAAATGATAATAAGTAATATTCCAATATAAGTACTTTGAAACTGAATTAACATAAAACTAAAACATGGTTTCGTTCCCACACGCCTTGGGAATGTAGACTGACAGAGGATGTGTTAGGAGGTATTCGCACCGAAGATAGATACTTGTCGTGCGGCTTCGCTCGCAACAACATCCAGGGGCAGCATACGATTTGCACCCCCCCCCCCCCCCCCCCGCTTCGCCACCTACTACTCCCCCCCCCCCCCTTCCTGCAGCCTGCCGCCCCGGGTCATGCCCTCTTGCCCCTGGCAATATCGCATTACACAGCGAAAGTCAATGGTCTCACGGGCATCGTCGCGTCATTCTCAACAATGAGAAATGACACCTCTGTAGACGTTTCAACAGGTGCACAGACGTCCGTTAATATTAACGATGGAATTATGCAAAAGCTGACATTCATTAGATTAAATACAATTTATAAGCATCTTAGTGTAAACTCTGTCCTGTTTTTGACTTTATCTTATTGCGGAATGAAAAGGACGGTGTTCAGTGTGCCATGTGCCACGATGTACCATGCTTAGCTGATAATGCTTACATTACCGCCCGCGTGTAAAAACCCACAAAATAAAACAGAACAAGACGTTTTCACGTCAAAATTGAAATTATAATGATGTAGGTATGTCAAAATTATTTTGTGTATCGCCAATTAATTATTTTTAGTTACTGACCTAACCTTCTTAGCATCCAACATTTTATTATAATACTTCTCAGATCATCATCGCCGGTAGTGTCGATGACGGTATAAAAGTGTCCAAATTGGATGAATTCGACATGGACATTGTCATACGACTGCCGATTAATAGCGCGGACGAAAGCGAGAGAGGCATAATAATGGAATATGACCAGCCTGGTTTCGTTAAAATGAAGATCATCGACTGCTTTGATAATCTGGACAAGCAACCCGAGTGGGAGAAGTGTCACGTGGTGACGAAAGAATGGCGCGACTCCGATAAATACTTCTTGCAAAACAAGTTCCGCAGTTGGTTGCACGGGATCGTTCAAAAGACACTCAAAGATATGGACAGGAAAGTGATCGTGCACGGTGTGAGTTATGTGCTCACATACAAGGAGTCGGGACCAGCATACACTTTAAACATAAAAAATTGTAGCGGACCGGAGAAATTTCTCCTGGACGTCGATTTGGTGCCTGTCATTAAGTTCACGCATCCTCGGTGGCCTTCAGGCTATAGGTAATTGTCTATCTATTATTTACTTCTACTTTTGCTAACATTAGCTATACCTATTTTTATTAACCGACGAGAAAAACGGAGGAGGTTCTCAAGTTGAAGCGTTTATTTGTTTTTTCTATGTAGTAGTAGTCCGATTTTGATATTTTTTTTTTATTGGGAAGGGTATACCCCGAAGTTGATCCCATATGAATTTGGGATAAAAAATCCAACCCTTATTGAATAAAAAACAGGGGGTGATTGATTATTCACTCACTGATTGTAATGTATGACCCCACATAACTATTTACAGAGTAGTCTAATTTTGAAAATTCTTTCTTTATTGGAAAGGGTATACCCCAAAGTTGGTCCCATATGAATTTAAAAAAAATCCAGCCCTAAGGTTATGAAATCAGGGGATGATTGAAATTTCACTTACAAATTTTAATGCCGAGTTGTATATTACAAAAAATCATAGCCAAAAATTTTTTTTATAAAAACTATTAACAAAAAAAATCAACCGCCGAAAGGTAAAAAATAATAAACCTTTAATATCTTTAGTCAAATTATTATTTAGAGTCGGTGCAATGCAGGTCAGATAGATCTGGGTTCCCATTTACTATTTGGGTTAATCTGGCACTGGCACCGCCTCCAAATATTAATTTGACTAAAGATATAAAAGGTTTTATTATTTTTTACCTTTCGGCAGTTGAATTTTTTGTTAAAAGTTTTCCTAATAAAACTGCATAGCAAGATAGTAAAACATAGAACAAAAAGAATTTCTTTTGAATTTATAATGTTAGACAGTATGATATCATAAATGATCATTGGTGATGGGTACCTAACTGATCTGATAATAATTGATTACTTTAGAACAGAGTCCCAATCACGACTTTTGACAACTCTGCCCCAAGCACGATTTTTGACAGCTCTGTCCCAAGCACGATTTTTGACAGCTCTGTCCCAAGCACGAATTTTGACAGCTCTGTCCCAAGCACGATTTTTGACAACTCCGCAATCTTATCGCATTGGCTGTTTCTATGAAAACTCAGCAGCAATCGGACGTAAGATAAACTGCCATGTTCGATACAAAATTTGACATTAGGGATACGATTACGGAGCTATCAAAATTCGTGCTTGGGCCTTAGGATTTTTTTAAATCTTTATATAAAGGCTTAGTCGCTGGTCGATTATAGTGTTTAAAATATACTATTGATTAACCATTACTATATTCTATTAATAATTAAATACTAAACAATTTATTAATTAAATTGTAAAGTTTAATGACTACTTTCTGGTTCCCTTTAAGACCTCGCAAATAATACATTTCACGTGTGCATTTTAGAAATATAAATCCTTCATCCGATAATAATCAAGTAAAAGAGTGGTACGTTGTACCGAAACCGAATAAATATATGCAAGACGACGTGCAGAAGAATCGTTGCTGGCGACTCTCTTTTCAAGTCTTCGAGAAGAACATGATGAGAAATCGGCAAAATTTAAAAACTACCATCAGACTGGTAAGAAAACTTTATCAGAAAGCTAATATCCCTCCGTGGCCGAGTGGTATGTACGCCGGGTTTCAGGGTGTCACCTACTCGAGAGGTCCCGGGTTCGAATCCCGGTGGGGGCAGATTTTGTGTGATGAATACGAGCATTTGTACTCCAGTCAATGTTTAATATGTATTTCTATATAAATATACTTATATGTGTACTGTATATGTATTATATCCGTTACCCTAATATCCCATAACACAAGTCGTACAGTGCTTACTTTGGGGCAAGGCTAATTGGTGTGAGTGTTGGAAATATTTATTTATTATTATTTATTTATTCTGCCCCATGGAGAGCACCCCCACTAAAGCCCGCAAAACTTAAATTTTGTTTAGAATCAAAATCGCTAAAGTCACCGGCATGGCGAAGATAGCCGCGTTCTAATTGGACACGTCAAGGTCAGATGATAAACTCAGTGCATCGAAGTGATGAAAGTTAGATCGATTATAGAAAACATGGATATTTTCTATCAATAAGCAATTTAGTATAGAGGCCTAGTACTTTTGTGCACGAGTGTAGCCACGCTACCACTTACTTCCAGCGTTCTTTTTACGTGACGCGACCAGTAACTTCATACTAAATAATATACAAGCAAACAAAAAAAAACACTGTTTGTATAAACACATGAAAAATATCGACATGGACAATAATATGCTGTTATGATGACTCTAAAAACTTAAAGAGCCTGGCTCACCGGGTCGGTGCGTGTTCGTTTCGTTTTGTTTGCGGGAGTGGCCGGATGGGGCGAGTTGAATGATTTATGATGATGTAGCATTCGAAAGTACAGAGAGCTATGTATTCGCTCGGGAAAGATTCCGTACCGAAACTACTTCTAATAGACTAGTTGACTCATGTCAAATTGCACAATGGCTGTGCTCTTTAAACACTCAAAATCCTGTCCACCATGATTGTGACGTCACCAAGTTAGTAAATGTGTTAGTAAACAACTAAACGTCATTGTCGTGTTACTGTGGTGTCTTTCGTCGGACTAAAATATATGTAAAAAAACTTACATCTTGTAGAAAAAATTCCGTTTATTGGCTTTGTTGACTAAATTAATGCTGGACGCCGGATTTGTGAAAGCAGAAACGACAAAACTCTTTGACTTAGTAGGTACATTCATAACCTTAAAAAATGTATTTTTAAACTTTAAATATTATTCAATGAGTTAAAGTCATTAAAGTCATCTTTGCTAAAAAAATGACTTTCAGACGGTAAAATTACAGGATTTAGCAACTTTTAAACATGACTGTGTTCATGTGTAGGTACGTGTATTTCTCTAGACAATTTAAACCACAACTTTTCTGGAGTCTTTAACGATGTGTTCCTACATTCGCGTATAATAAAATCATGATAATTATTATATTTATCATGAAATCTATTAGAAATCATGCTTTTATAACATAAATTTAGATTCAGGTTATTTCCTATGTGCTTCCGAATGTTTGTTTACAATTTTGTTGACGTCATAGCACAGATAAATAATCTATAGACTAAAATGGCTGAAAGCGTTTTTGTATGACCATGAAAAATCCATTTTAAAATTAAAGTTTTGTAGCTTACTAGGTCAAAAAAAATACAATACATTTTATTGTTAAAAATTACATAAGTACAATTCTTTGGCAAGACTGAGTTTATTATAAAAGATAAGTCTCGACACGGACATTACAGAAAGGCACTGTCTTCTGGGTTTCTTTATCACATACATTGTAAGAATTGATAAAAAATATATGTTATGAAATTTCTGATAAATTTCGGGAATGTTTATGTTTCTAATCGTCATTATCATCAGCCTATAAATGTTGCCACTGCTGGGGCACAGGCATTCCCTATGGATGATTTAGAAAGGTTGGGCCATGATCCACTTCGTGAGCCCAGTGCGGATTGGTAAGTGCTAACAACTGCAAATGCAGCCGGGGCCACCGGTTTATCTTGCCATCCGAAGCACGGAGGATCTGGAGATAGTGAATTTTTAATCACCCATCCAATGACCGACCACTGCGAAAGTTGTATAACTCGCTCGGAGCCGAACGCGCTAACCCTTGCGCCATCGAGCTCCTCAACTGAACGTTTCTAATATGTCGGAACTTATTTAGTTTACATTTAATGTACCTACTTACATTTCGTGCGCAGATGAAGAAGTTGCGAGACAATCTTGATATGAGAGCGATCGCGAGCTACTACATAAAGACATTGTTCTTGTGGAAAATCTCGCAAAATGACGAGACATACTGGCGGACTAAACCGAGCACACTCTTCCACACAATGCTCAAAGAATTTTATGATGCGATAGAGAAAAAGAATATACCGTACTTCTGGCACGAAGACAACAATTTGATAGAGGGACTCAAGCCCTCATTGCAGAAGATATATTTGGAGAAACTGGCTGGTGTGCTCAAGAGCATAGAATCAAACGACGTCGACGCGTTGGTGACGGCATTTCTTACACAGGCCGAGTTGAAGAAATACAAGGAATCGGAATTTTATAAGAACCAGAAAGCCAAAGATGTCGCAGATGCCGCGAAACTATCAACAAATGTCATAACCAAGCAAGTTTCAGTGCCTAACGAAGATAAGACGAAGTTAATTAACTCTTTGATTAGTAAAGTAGACAAGCTCACTTCTGCCGTGGCGGATCTCCAAGATAGGGTGAAACGATTAGAAATGTCTGTTAATCTAGTGAAGGAAAACAGAACAATTGATGACAGCTTGTTGAAGTCATTCTCTTCTCAAGATTCGGGAGTTTCCTTAGACTCTCTTGTCAACTGATAATAATATAATGCATTTGCTAACGGCTTGTCAACTCGTAATAATATAATGCTTTTGCTAAGAGCCGTTACAGTTGACTGAATGCAGCAGGAAAATCTAAGCGAATCGGTTGAAAATTAGAAAATGTAGCAACCTGGTCGCAAATTGAAATAAGCTAATGAAACTGCACATCATACGAGAAACAGGAGAGTCACAAGTTAAGCGTGCACAGGGCACAGAGGGGCACAGAGGATTTGCCAAATTTATTTCCTACTTAAGCATACCTTTCCAAAGGAGTATGTAGCAAAAGACTAAACCCAAAAACATTACATACTGTTTAGTGTCTTATTTGATAGAACACATGGAGGAGCAGAATCGGCTTCTAGCTGGCTTCAAGTTGAGGATGGTTATAGCACCATGTTTTGACAGAAACAAAAAAAAATACGCTTTTGACGTCATGAATGCGCATCTTTATATTGAATTTTTTTACCTAATTTAACTTATGATAGTTGAAGCGATAGAAAAGTATGCCGTTCCAGCCACTCTCACCTTGGCGCACAGGGGGACAATCGCCTAACGGGATTGCAATTGGCTATCGCTATCGCTTATGTTTTCATTTAGTTATTTATGACCACAGAAGGTTTTCAAATACCCCGCGCTCTTTTTTTCCTTTTGTATTGGTAACAACAATATTAAATAAAACGATCATAAGAACCTTTGGGGGTCAGCAATAACAAAATAAAATCGTAAGCTATAGCGATAGCCATATCAATTTTGTTAGGCGATTGACCCTCTGAAGTGCACCACAAATTGAGGGAAATACATTCCCCAAATTGACAAGGGTACAGTGTTATCAAATTTAATTTTTGGTTTAGATAATCATGCCAGAATCGACACCATGGTTTTACTATCTATGCTTAGGTGTAGATCGATTTTACAGTTAATATCACACCTTAGTCATCAATTTGAATAGTTCTAAGGAACCTTTATTTTCTAAAATATCCGAAACTTGTAATACGTGTGTCTACCTTAAATAAATTTATAATGTGCTTTTGGCGAGAATTCGCCTATAAGAAAAGACTGATTGTAATGACTGAACTCGAAGTTTGGGTAGCAAATTTTATATTAAGGCCTGTGCATTTATACATCACAATCTTAATACATAAGTAATGTTGTCTTTTGGTAGTCATATAGACTGTTTGTTCCTAATAATTGCGTTCCTCTTTATTCCAGCGCCTTCCAAATATGTTGGTTTTATTTGTTGAGTTATGAGTGTTAATGTTTGTGACTTGGCGCAGGGAAAGCAATTCTTTCATCACATTGAACTATATTTAGAAAATGTTATAAAATATCTTATATTTTAATATTACAAAATATGCATAGTTATATATTTATTGACTTGTGTTGTTTTGAAATCTTTAAATATTGTAAGAATTAAAAATATATTATTGATAAAATCAGGTAAGTTATTAAAATAAGGAGGGCGTAGAACGCCCAAAGTTTACAATTATCATTTTAACCTATCTTTTATAAGAAGTAAATTTTATAATAAATTTGATGCAATTATATTCAGAATGATCGTATTTTATTTCCTAATTTCATCCTCTTTCCAATTTAGTAGCATGTGTTGCCTACCTAGCTGTCGCCTCTAAAACATCAATGATATGGCTAAAGATTTGGACAAAAAAAAACTATCTATCACAGTTTTCCTATACAATGATATTAAATACACTAGTTACACCAACACAACACGAACAAAATCTTGCCCAAAACCTGTCCAAAAGGTACATTGGACGATCTACGGAGCTTCGTAAGATGATCGGGTAGTCAAAATATTAGGCATTATGTAACTATTGAAAGTCACCTTTAATACAAATTGTGTAAGGTATTAATTAAAACGCATGCGTCAAAGAATTATTTCGAAATGCGAGCTCGAAATTTTACGACGAATATAGACCTTATTTCTTTGGCTCTACGACTCTAATCCTGAATACGCTGTTAGCAACATAGCAGGTAAGACGCGCGGGGAAGAGACGGCTATATAACCGATCATGCATTTAAAAATCACTAATATTTTCTATTAAATCAGTTTATAGTAAGTATTAGAACAAAATTTGCTTCAAATGTGTTAAATTTCCGACAGGTGTCTAACCTGTCGGAAAAACGACACTACATACTATAAGTATGTATTTTTTTCGCATTTTTTACGAAGCTCTGCGGCAACTTGACTTGCAAAGAAATAAGGTCTATATTCTTCCGCATATAGCAATAAGTCGTAAAATACGAGATTGCATTTTGAACTGTCATTACCCTTTGGCGCTTGCTATTTAATTAAGACCTTATAAAGTGTGCATTATAGGTGACTTGCAATGTTTAAATAATGCCTTATATTGTTTTTCACTACGCGATCATCTTACGGAGCTCCGGGGATCGTCCAATGTATCTTTTGGACAGGTTTCGGGTACGATTTTGTTCGTGTTGGTGTATCTAGGGTATTTAATATCGTTGGCTGCAGTTGTAAGCGATCCATTTTGGCGGACAAAAGTCCCTTGTTTGCGCAGGCACATGATCATAGAAATATAACAGTAAGACCGAGTCAAACATTTGCAAGTAACTTTATTTACAGAGAATGAACTAATCGACACACGATTGAAATTGATCTCTCTAGAAACCGAGAAAGCGATGGTGCAGCCAATACTTATACAACCTATTGGCCGCACGATCGCTTCGTCTTTCTCACACTTATTTGTACAGCTTTACAGTTGGCCTAGCAACGCTTTAACACTGCTCTGAATCATAAGCTGTACAGCTTTACAGTTAGACTAGCAACGCTTTAACACTGCTCTGAATCATAAGCTGTACAGCTTTACAGTTGGACTAGCAACGCTTTAACACTGCTCTGAATCATAAGCTGTACAGCTGGACTAGCAACGCTTTAACATTGCTCTGAATCATAAGCTGTACAGCTTTACAGTTGGACTAGCAACGCTTTAACACTGCTCTGAATCATAAGCTGTACAGCTTTACAGTTAGACTAGCAACGCTTTAACACTGCTCTGAATCATAAGCTGTACAGCTTTACAGTTGGACTAGCAACGCTTTAACACTGCTCTGAATCATAAGCTATGATTCATGGTTGTCACTCATAATATCAAATCGAAAAACGTCTCGCCCCGACTACTCCATGGTCGAGTGGTATGTAATGTACACAGGTTTTCAAGGTATCGCCTACTCAGAGGTCCTGGGTTTCATTCTCGGTAGGTATGATGTTTGTATGATCAATACCTATGGTATAGCTGGTGATATACATTTTTCCAAAAATATACTCTCTATGGTATAAGAAGAGATATAGAAGCTACTTGAGGGTTCACGTCAAGTTTCTGATGATGACGTAAAAAATATGAATCTGCCGAACTGCATGTGGGAGTGGCCGTACGAAGGGATAGAATATTCTCCGGTATGTGTTGAAATTATTTTTTGCTGCCCTAGACATCCGGGCCTAGTTGAAGGGTTCAGGTTTGTTCGAAGTATATCATAAAATTGAGAATCGACACCCTGATCACACGCCACACGTGGTTCGTTTGCTGGGTCCGAGGAGATTCTAAACCTTTATTGCATAAGCATTACCTAATAAGTGTAATGCAGTAGGGCATTTAAATAATACAAATTAGTACCACGTACGACAAAACTGTGGAATATATTATTGTCGCCAGCAGTGTTTCCGGACCAATACGACCCAAAAACCTTCAAAAAAAGAGCGTACTCCTTCCTTAAAGGCCGGCATCGCATTTGTGATACTCCTGGTGTTGCAAGTGTCCATGGGCGACGGTAATCACTTACCATCAGGTGAGCCGTCTGCTCGTATGCCCCCTATAACATAAAAAAAATAGTATTAAATAATAATAACTCTTGACTCAAAGTAGGTAGGTACTTACACAAAAAATAAGATGCAAATTTATGATTTTAATATTTTACTATATTAATTTGTGTTTTCTTAGAAAAGGAATATATTACAGCCATTAACGCACCGTAGAAAATAAATAGGCAATTGAGCGGTAATGCAAAATGCTATTTCAAAAGTTCGTAGGTACGTACTTTAAAGGTTTATATTTTTAGGTAGACATAATTTGTTTTCGCCTGCCAAACCGGTTCTTAACCCCTTTCAACAGGAAATATCCACTCGCCTTCGGCGCCCGCGCCAATCTCACAATTCATTTAAAAATTGAGTGCATTAAAATAATATATATTAGTGTACGTTTTCACTGTAATGTAAATATATTTATTGAAAGAACTTGAGATAATTTTTAAAATAGCATCAAGCGTTACTTGCCAGAAGAAAGATGTCTCAAACTTTGATTATCATTACGAAGAAAATAAAATCATATCAATATAAGAAAAAGTTAAGTATGGATAACCAGCATTAAGTTTTACGTTCAAATAGCTTATTAAGTAAACAAGTTTAGTGAACAAAATATTTTTGGTTTTATTTTATAATATAGAAAGTATTTTAACCGTAAGCCATTATAATTTCATTTAAATTTATTTCCAAAGGTAACATCGTCAAACAAATTGTTTGAGATATTTGCAGATCAATTTGCATTTATAAAATAAACAATAATGTTATTATAACCACACTATAACAATATCACTGGTACATTTAACAGATTTACAAATATGACCATCGCTTCTCAGGTAGAGGTAATCTTTTGTTCTTGTTGATTAAAATTTCGATTGCCACTGTCACATGGATACATAAACGAATCGGATGAATCTTCATTCAGATCTTTTAAGTATTTATCTATTATTTTCCATAAATAATAAATAATATAAAACGCATTCGCTTCGAGTTGGCCGCGTCCACCCACTCCGCCTCACCGCACTGCGCTCCTAAACAGACCCTATTCGACCCTAATGGTCGAAGATACCAGTTGATGTGCCTGACGACTGCTCTACACGTTGGCCAACATTGTAGGGAATACTATAATTGTAGCGAATATTATGTCAAAAATATTAGCCAAGAGTTTGCGATGGCATCCACACACTGGAAGATATTTCAGTTTGCTTCGGGTCAAGTCAATATGCGGACGACTTTATTGAATTGGATAATATAAGTATAGTCGCTAACGGCTCCTGCTATTTATTTTTGCACAGTATATCCCTATTAAAGTTAATATACTACTAGACACTATAGTTACGACGCCATCACTCTGGGAGCTCTTAACAAACTAAACGCGCGCACAACGTATGGATCGACGCCTATGACTCCGCCACAGTCCTTGATCTTTTGAAAAAACCAATACCCTACGGATCTTGCACCAACTTGTGGGCCATCATTCCAATACATACCAATATAAACACCTTGCTCTACACGATGGCCAAAAATACTGGCCATATCCATTCGCCACAATGTTGGCCAACGTATAGAGCAGGCATGCGATAAAGTTTGTAACGGTCATCGGCGGTCAATTCGAAGTTAACGTGTAGTATATAATTAACATATAATACGCACGGACTTTCCAGTGATAAAACTTATCCCAATTAATCGGACAAAAAAACTGCTGAACCTCATGTTGATTAGAATCGTATTTTTTAAAGCCTACCGGATACCTTCACACTGGCGTTTCTCGAATGCGTGTATTTAACGCACGCACTATATGACTAGCGTTATCTGTCTGTGATGTATTCATTTAAACTTTAAATTAACCAATTGGTTCTAAAGTCAGACCAAAAATAAATATAGTTTTACTGTCTACATGCGCGAAATAAACTTACTTTCTAATGATTTAAGTACTGCAACAACTTTTTAATTTCTTTCATTACGGAAACGGTAATTTGCCTATTTAAAACGGTGTTATAGTGAGAATAAAACTTTTAAAGATTATACAGGGAGTCACAGGTCAAATTGCCTGTAAAAAACCCATCAAACTTCTCACCGATTTTAGGCTTTATCTATCTCGCTTAATGGGTCATAATCGAGTGAGAAAAATTTACATTATGTGTGAACTTAGTGTAGCTGACTTTACCTCAACCTATAACAAATCACTCCACAACACTTAAAAATTTTTGTGGAGTCCAATTGCGAAATTAGCTGAGGCAGAAGATTCTACATTAAAAATGATATTACTATGGATGCATTCGTGCATTTCTTTATGCCTTAGGGTTGACTGGCAGAGAATGATTTTAGCGTAAAGTCCGCCTTTTGCCCATTTTTGTAATTGTGGCAATTAAGTTTAAATAAATAAATAGCTTTTTTATACACATACTACTAGCTCGCTATAACGTTTTCAGAATTCCTTATAAGTATTTTTAATGCACTCCTGACAAAACGCGAGTGTGAAAGTTAAAAGCAATGGTCTCACCTTTTGCATTAAAACATTACTCAAATTTTGCCGCTTTAAACTGATTCTGTATCATACATATCGACTTTTAAGTTCAATTATATACATATTACAATACAAGTTTACAAACAATGTGCAGCCTAAGCGGATATTTTATGTTTCATACTATTCATATAAAACAATGATGATGAGTACTAAATTTTAGACAATATATATTTTTTAATTTTGTTTTATTTAAACTATTATTAACCCATGATTGGTCACGTATTGGGGTGAAGAGAAACCAGCGTATTTTTTGTTGCAAGCCGTATAAAATACTTTCGTAATTTAAGCTTTATATTGTTGCCTACAGGTCTTCTTTGTGCCACAAAATGAGTTTCATTGCAAAAAAATTATACTACCCGCAACCCAAAAAACACACTGGTTTGGCCTCACCTATAGTGGCTTATCGTATACAGAACTAACAAATTGCCAATTGATTTATCTACTAACATTTACGAAATTTAATATTATAAAATATATTGTATCGAGACAATACAGTAAAAATTGTACCAAGATGTGACGTCATGTGACATTTTATAACTCTGTAATGTTTTGATTATGTGAATAAAGAAAAAATACGTCTGTAATATTTTTTAATAATCTACCAGAGACGTAGAAAAAAAATAGTCATCACTCCTATTGATCTAGAATTGTAGCTGGAAATTTCGACCCAACATATTTTAAATTATCTAGATAACGTCAGTAGATATATCTTAGCGACCGATGTAAAGCTTTTACGCACAATATTCTATGTGAATGGTCATAAAAGCACCACGCCCTTAAAGATGTTTCAAGGCGTTATAAATTGTCTTTTTCGTTTCCAACAGAAAATAAATTAAAAATAATAAACAGTAAAGGAAAATTAATGTGCTGAATGCTGTACATAAACTTCTTTTTTTATATAAAAAACACTTGATCAATTTTTGCAACATACATATTTATACATGTTAAATAATTACAAACAGGTGTTTGTAAGCAGGAATAGTTCCACACAAGGTATATTTTCATTTAACTTAATTTTTAGCTAACAATATGAGATAAGTATAATTATTTATAATATTAATATAACGCTAATATTATCAGGAAATCTAAATATTCTAATAATATTAATTTTATCCAAAATAAAGTCACTATTAAATAAAAAAGAGATGTGTGTACTATTGTCAACCAAATTTTTTAATAAAATAAATTGATATGCAACAGTCCTCCGTGTATTCATATAATAGTCACTGTACTTTGGATATTTGTGTACAATAATGAATGTGGCAACATTTTATTCAACATGGCAAGTCCATAAAACAAAACAAATACGTACATACAGCCTCACGTTTGCATTGACTCCAATATTATCTTGACACTTTCAGTGAATAACAGTTGAAAAAATGTTACACCACATTCATTTAGAGAGAGTGCATTTTAACTCAAGCTATTTAGCTTACGACAGAGATAAATTTAAATTTTCACATGCGGATATTCGTAACTTGAGCTCAGTGTGTTAGATAAATAATTCTGGTACAAAATAAAACAATAATGAAATGATACTTATTATTATCTACCACTTCGAAATTTAATCTAGAACATATCCCTAAAAATGACTAAATCCTATCTTTGATCCGAATACTAAGACTTTTAGGCTTTAGAAATGATTTTTTACCTTCTTTACATTTCAGTGATCCGTATGTGAAAAATTTTATCGTTTCAGTCGATTTCACAATTTAGTGAAGCAGACATATTGCAAGGCGCAGATCCGTTCGTGTTTTATTACAAATAGTATAGGTATATACTCAAAGAGTTATCTTTCATTATTTGTTAACATCAATATCCAAGCTATTCAGAATCTCTTAAAGGAATTCCATTCCAATTTATAATAAAAAGACTGGCTTGTGCTTGGTTTTTACTATTCTTACCACACACCACGAAAATTAACAGAAATGTCATTTCGAAGAGTCACACGTTTAATACCTGAAAAACTAAGCTAAACTGTTGCATATATGAAAGAAAATTACAGAAATGTTTATAACTGTCACAAGTAAGAAGTACAGTCTACCATTTTTGCGTATAAATAACTGTTTTGGGGTCTTAGCTAGTATAGCAGTATGACTCGCAACAATAAAGAAATGTATATAAAAAGGCGAAGCAAGACATTCTGACTTTCTCGGGCATTACTGACAAGAATATAAGTAATAAGACATTAGCTAGTGTAGCATTTTAACTCGCAGCCTTTGATAACTAAACCGTAGACACCGTGTTAACTGCACCGAAGCGGCAGAAAAAATATCTACTACATATGGTAGATAAGCTCGTCGTTACATACGCACACATTGACTGCTTTAGTACAATTTGACATTAGAGTCACGCACCCATTGTGAGTAACATGAGCCGTTTTCTTTGCTTGGTTTATTTGGATTATTCTTTCTAGTCATATAAATACTCAAAACTCGCAGCAATAAAGAAATTTATTTAAAACGGCGACGTAAGACATTCTGTTCCTGACAAGATTTTAATAATTATAAGGTAAATAGTATGCGAATGGAACTACGCCTGGTGCAAAGTGCCATAACGCGAGGTGTATTAACGCGCGCTCCCAGACTTACTGTGCTGGATGAGCCATTGTAGCGTGATATCGATATTGTCCTTCTCCTTGCATGATATGGAGTAACAGCAGATCTCACGGTCTTGAATGGCGGATAAGTTCCTGTTGACAATGCGGCGTGTTAAATATTTTTACTGTTATACTTTTATTATAATGTATTCGATGGGACTGATTCTGCCATAATTCTGTAAACTTAAATCCTCTTTGAGAGAGAGGCAAAGCGGATTTTCCGCTCAAATTGGAGCGTCCGTCTGAGGTTACTAAGGTGGGTGAAAGGTGGAACTTACAGATAACACTACCTTTTGGTGGTGTTGTATATACGGGGTAGGGGATTGGGACAGAGTAGGCAACGATGCGTAGCGAGTGATATTTGGGCCCTATCCCCGTAGCGTGACCACCATAATTTACATTATATCACGGTTTTTCTCGCGTCTAACTGTCAAACTCCACATTAATTTGACAATTAAGCGTGATAAAACGAGCGATATATTATATCACAGTGCTCATGCTATGGGGCTTGACACGATAATTTATTAGAATGTTAGCCGCGAGATCTTCTACGTGGTTCAATTCATTTACTTCCTTAAAAGATGATTTCTGGGATATAAACTATTCTATGTCCTTTCCCGATTCTCAAATTATATTTATACAAAATTTCAGCTAAATCGGTTTAACGGTTTAAGCGTAAAGAGGTAACGGACCGACAGAAAACCACACTTGCGCATTTATAATATGAGTATGGATTTTTTTATTTTATACACCTAGATACCGTATTAACTGAACGGAAATGGCACAAAAAAATATCTACAATACATGGTAATACGCTAGTCTCTACACACGCACACACTGACTGCTTTAGTACAATCTGACATTAGAGTCACGCACACATTGCGCGAAACATGATATGCAGCAGGTCGCGCTTGCTGCCCAACAACCAGCACGGACATGCCGGTCAACTGCTTCTTCTGTATCAACCTGTAAGATGAGTGCTGCTCCCTATAAGTGACGTGACACTCACATCCGCTCTATGAGGCCGTGCTCGTGGAGTGTGTGCGGTAGGTCGCGCCCGTTGCACAACAATCAGCAAGGGGACGCCGGTCAGCTGCTGCTTCTATATCAACCTGTGAACTGAGTGCTGCTCCCTATAAGTGACGTGACACTCACATCCGCTCTATGAGGCCGTGCTCGTCGAGTGTGTGCGGTAGGTCGCGCCCGTTGCACAACAGTCAGCAAGGGGACGCCGGTCAGCTGCTGCTTCTATATCAACCTGTGAACTGAGTGCTGCTTCCTATAAGTGACGTGACACTCACATCCGCTCTATGAGGCCGTGCTCGTCGAGTGTGTGCGGTAGGTCGCGCCCGTTGCACAACAATCAGCAAGGGGACGCCGGTCAGCTGCTGCTTCTATATCAACCTGTGAACTGAGTGCTGCTCCCTATAAGTGACGTGACACTCACATCCGCTCTATGAGGCCGTGCTCGTCGAGTGTGTGCGGTAGGTCGCGCCCTTTGCACAACAATCAGCAAGGGGACGCCGGTCAGCTGCTGCTTCTATATCAACCTGTGAACTGAGTGCTGCTCCCTATAAGTGACGTGACACTCACATCCGCTCTATGAGGCCGTGCTCGTCGAGCGCGTGCGGTAGGTCGCGCTTATTGCCCAGCACTAGCACGGGGATGCCGGTCAGCTGCTGCTTCTCAAGAAGGCTGTGCAGCTCGTTGCGCGACGCCTCGATCTTATCCTGGTCTGCGGCGTCTACCATGTACCTACACCGCATAATAATGGACCATTTTAATCAGTGGTTCTTAATCGGCCCTCCCTGGAAGCACCCGAAGTGGACCGCGAAGCCAATCGAAAAAATATTACACAAGTAAGAACGCTGATTAATTTAAAAATTCTGGGCGGGGGAGCAAATCATAAGTGGTGGTCCTTAGCAAGACAGAAATATTGTTAAGAAACCAGTGATTTCAATGAAGAAATGAAAGAATGTTAATAAATAATAATATATATAAATATTATTATATTATTATTTATTAACATAATAAATTGAGGAGCTCGATGGCGCAGGTGGTTAGCGCGTTCGGCTGCGATCGTTGAAGTTAAGCAACTTTCGCAGTGGTCGGTCATTGGATGGGTGACCAAAAATTTACTATCTCGAGCTCCTCCGTGCTTCGGAAGGCACGTTAAGCCGTTGGTCCCGGCTGCATTTGCAGTCGTTAGCACCCACCAATCCGCACTGGGCCCGCGTGGTGGGTCATGGCCCAATCTCCCTATTCCATCCATAGGGAAGGCCTGTGCCCCAGCAGTGGGGACATTAATAGGCTGATGATGATGATGATGATGAAATAATAAATATTTCCAACACTCACACCAATTAGCCTAGCCCCAAAGTAAGCACTATAAGGCTTGTGTTATGGGATACTAGGGTAACGGACAGAATACATATACTTTACATATATAAGTATATTTATATAGAAATACACATTAAACATCCATGACTGGAGTACAAATGTTCGTGTTCATCACACAAACATCTGCCCCCACCGGGATTCGAACCCGGGACCTCTCGAGTCGGCGACGCCATGAAACCCGGCGTACAAACCACTCGGCCACGGAGGTCGGTGTTAAATGCTTCCCGTTCCCTTCTTCTTGTCAGCTAAAAGATGTCCTAAATGGTTGGTAGGTAATAAATATTGGACGATTCAAAAGAGATTTCAATAAATCAATTTGATTTAAGTGTATTTCTTTTTAATGGTGGTGGCATCATCTATAGACGACCAGGGGGCCAATCGCCTAACGGAAATGCTTTGGGAAACGCTAACGCTTACGATTTTATTTTGTTATTTCATTAAACAATGAAAAAACTAAATTAGGTTGTCTGGGCATATTATAGCACATAGTTAGAGATAATATAAATTAATAACTTCTTTGTAAGATCCACTTGTAGCAATTTTCTTAAATCTTGATTTATCTAAATCTACATTTAGCCCATACGGTAATGTCATATTGATATTGAGGTTTTGACATTTTTCTATGGGATTTATCTAGTTTTCATAGCTAAACAAGATTTAAAAAAAAAACTTAATCCTTAGTACCACACATGGTCAGATTAGCACAGTTATATCAATCAAGTTTACTTTAGTTTAGGTTATAACATTAAGTACTTACACAATAGCATTGACACCGCGGCAATACCTCTCCCACATTGATCGGAACCTGGGCTGACCACCAATATCCCAAACCTTTTGAAAATCACAAACATTAGGCACATAAAGATGATAAACAGAATTCATTTGGGCCAAATGGTGTTATTCAATATCACATTATAATTATCAAATTTAGATTAAAACAAAAAGGAAAGATACGGTACGCTCATACTAGCATCAAATAAAATATGATCCGACTCAACTACATAAGCAACTTTCACACACGCACACTCCTGTAAATAAACATTCTATCGAGCGAGCGAGACAGAATTGTACGCTTCAACGCAGCGCGAGCGAAACGGCGCTAGTCCGCGTCGCTTTGCGGTCGACTGCGTTTTCTTTTCTCTTTTTACAGACGGCTGATTTGTATTGTTGTCCTTTTCTTGATAAAAAATGGCGACATGCATCGCGTTTGGATGTCCAATTGTGACTTAAGCGAATTATGGTTATGCATCACAATTTAAGCAGATCACTTTTGAGCCGCGAGTGCCGAATCTTCCTTTTTTGTTTTATTCTAAGTTATCAATTATGTTTGATGCCAAATACGACAATGACTAACTTTTTTTCTTTGTCTATCACGTAAATTAAAAAGTTTTGGATACGTATTTATTCTTTATTCATAAAATCAAAATTATATATTTACTTTGTTATATAAAAAAGGTGTTTTTAAAAATGAGAGAAAAAAAGTGTCAATGGACTCCTCGCCAGAAGGGCATTGAACTATTAATCGGAAGGGGTTTGAAGCAAAGTCCAAAGTCACTTTGGGTTGTCTTTATATTAAAATTTCCACTATTCCAATGATTTTCTTGAATTTAGAAGCTTGGTCCAATTATCCTCTTACTTTACCTGAATTTTAAAGAAAGGTTATTTCAAGGTTCAATATAAAAATTCATCTTAAGTATAAAAAGAAGCCTATGGAGTTTTTAAACAAAATTAAATAAACAGGCCAACAGCAATCTCCACGACAAACTTATTTCTCCTGCATCGAAATTTTTTATTTATTTTTTTATGTTATAGGGGGCATACGAGCAGACGGCTCACCTGATGGTAAGTGATCACCGTCGCCCGTGGACACTTGCAACACCAGGAGTATCACAAATGCGATGCCGGCCTTTAAGGAAGGAGTACGCTCCTTTTTTGAAGGTTTTTGGGTCGTATTGGTCCGGAAACACTGCTGGCGACGTGGTAAAAAATTCGAGAAAAACGCACGGTTGTGGATAGCCACGCATCAAGATGGGGATGAAATTTTTGTCGCGATGTACGATGGTGAAACGCAGCAGCTGGAATTAATCCGAACATTTCCTCAGAACACTCCCCGTGATAAATGCGATAGAAGATGCAGAGCGAAGCTACATTCCTACGCAAAGCCAAAGGATCAAGCTGATCGGAAAGGTCCTGGTCGTCGACGATTCGAGCCACTCGGCGCTGGAAGCGATCCAAAGGGAGAAGCTGGTACTGGGGTGCCCCCGCCCAAAGATGAGAGCAGTACTCCATGTGAGGCCGAACCTGTGCCTTATAAAGTTGCAGTCGGTGGGCCGGTGTGAAGTACATTCTCGATCTATTGAGCACACCAAGCTTCTTAGAGGCCAATTTGGCCTTGCCCTCTAAATGATCCCGAAACTGGACGTCGCTCGATATGTCAACGCCAAGAATTCCAATACTAGCTGAGCAAAAAGAGGAGATACGACTAATGGTATTTTTTTTGCGGTGAACACACGAAGACACAAGTATGCGCATACTTGTGTCTTCGTAGGGTTAAATTGGACTAGATTAAGTCGGCCCCAATTCGTTACTTGGTTTAACAAAGATTCGACTTCAGACACAAATTTGTTCCGGCACTCGATGACGTTTTCCCGTGATATGAAGAAGAAACAGCGTTGGCGATAGCACACAGCCTTGCGGAACACCAGCGTTTACGGATTTGGAGTCCGAGCATGCACCGTCGACTGCGACCTTGATGCTCCTGTCCGCAAGAAAGCTAGTGATCTAAACGCACAGTTTTTCAGGAAGCCCATAAGATGGAAGCTTCGAAAGAAGCGCTTTGTGAAAAAACCCGATCGAAGGCCTTCGCGATATCCAGACCGACCGCCAATGCTTCCCCCTTAGTCTCGATCGCCTTTGCCCAACGATGATAAACTCTTAAGTCTATTCAATAGTAAAAAAGATTAGGTGAACAAAATTGGGCTACTCGAAAATTACTTCCTGAAGTGACATTAAAATTTTCTTCCTTTTGTTCCTTCCAAAAGGCAAGCAAAGAAATCAGTCTAGATAAAACCTTGTTAAGCCAGAGAAAAAAAAACGCATGGACTAGCAAAAACAATCTATGGTAAAGGAGAGCGAGCTCCAAACCTAAACAAAGGTATTCTATCTCTCTTCAAACAAATAAAACTCATGTGACGTTTTTAATACATTACAACTTAGAAGTGACATCACAAGCCCCCACTCCCTAACTTTAACATGCGTTATCTTTGTCAAAAAAACTGATAGAAAAATCTTTTACTAAAATTTTCCTATACTTTCTTTACACAACTACTGCCAAAATAAGAATTCCTTTTGCTATATATACATTTTTCCCATTCATTAATCCCTATATCAAGTTTTATTTCCACAACAAAAATTTACTAATATCTCTCTTCAGAAGTAAAAATATGAAGGCATAAAATACTGATTAATAGTGACTTTGGCATTTACAATATCAATAAGGGTGTGTGAAGTCAGTCATTGAATAAGAATAATTACGCGCCCATTTAATACCTGTCAGTACTTAAAAAAGAACTTTAACCTTGATTGTGACATTTCCTTTTGTGATTTTTCTCATGTTGAATCCAACTGTAGGGATCATATCTTCACTAAATTGACCAGACTGAAAAGAAAACCAATTTAATTATTATTAAATTGTACCAATAATATACATCAACTAAATATCCTTTTAGGATTAGACGAACATTAAAGACTTAATAAATAAGATTTTTTGTCAAGAGGCACTAGAAATAGCTATATTCTAAAGTCACAATCGCAATCCACAAACACATTTAAATTATTCAGTCGGATCCCTTTAATACTGTCAATTTTAAATCAAATGTTTGTCTTATGTTGAGCATTTGTTTTATAAATTAGAATTTTTAAATAACTTCTTCTTCATCCTCGTTTCTTCATGACTGAGGGTTGTGACCACTTGAGGTTGTCAAGTGGTTATTCCAGTGTAAATGTTACTTTGGGTGCCGGAATTCAATTAATGTCTTTCAATATGGGCTTACCACCAAATGTAATTGTGGCATGAATGTGAGAACATCTTCTATATTTGTTGTGAGAAGATATTAACTTGGATAAGATGAATGATGTCAATGAACCTTGAATGATACATACAACTCTGTGACATTGAAATGTTGATAATATTAATGAACATGTGTATTCTATAATATAACAGTAACATTATACTAGTGTTACCTAATGTATAAGTACTTCATAGAGCTTCAAACAAAACAAAATATGTTATAAAATTAGTGGTAAAACTGTACTTCCAGGGCCCAAGAGGTGTTATCCTTTTTTTTTTGTAGATAGGTCTTTATTAATAAATAAATAATAAGCCATTTATTTACCACAATTGAACTAACATACTATGTTTTTTTAATCTTATATACTAATAATTATGGTCCCCTGAATGGGTGAAGGCCTCCACCATTTCCTTCCATGCGTCCCTGTTGCTGGCTTTTTTGGTCCAGTTCTCACCAGCAATGCTATGCAATGTCATCTGCCCATCGTTTGTATGGTCTGCCAACCCTCCTTTTTCCTGTGGGTCCTGTCCACTTTGTCGCTCATATAGACCATCTGTTGTCTGTAAGGTGGCAGACGTGTCCAGCCCAGCACCAGTTTAGTTCTAGGGCATGTGCGAGAGCATCAGTCAGTTTGGTTTTTGCTCTTATGGAGGTACTCTTTATTTTATGGACCTTTCTGATTTTTAGGATACTCTGCTCCATTGCTCTCTGTGTGGTAGTGATTTTACTTTTTACCTTCTTGGTGAAAACCCATGACTGGCATGGGTTTTATAGATAGATATATGGATATATAGTAGGCATGGTAGCAGGCATGTGTCCATCACCCTCCATTTCATAAAGGAAAGAAACCAACACTAAAAATTTGCACCTACAATGTGAAATCCCTTTCAACAACAGAAAAATACAACAATACAAGATAAACTATGACATTTTAGGTCTATCAGAGGTGAGAAAAATGGGCAGCAATATAGAGGAATATCAAGAGCATTATATTTTGCTATATAAGGTCTCTATTAACGAAGTTTATATTTCTGGTGCTTCGCCGGCCACTGCCACGTCACTCTCGCTTTGCTTGCTGGGCTCGCCCGTTATGGACACAACACTAACCTAACTCAGGGTGAAGTTTGTTCTCACCGCTTGGGCCCTGGAAGTACAAGTAGTCAAAACAAATAACATAAATGGAGTATTAGATAGATGCTCTGTATTGTCTGTAATACAGGTTATCCTACAACTGGCAACAGTAGTTCACCTTTTACAGTATTTTAGCTACTAATTGCCTATTGTCACTAATTTTGTCACATCTGTTTTAAAATATTGTATATTGTAACTTATAAAAATAAAATAAAATAGCTTTTTATTTCATATCTATTAGTTACTTTTACATTTTATTTATGTTAGATTGTTAGTAAACCTAAATATTATGTTGATTTTTAGTATTTGTTAGTATAGTTTCAGACATGGATCCCATCTGGGTAAAAGCCTCCTCCATTGCTTTCCACTTTTCTCTATCTTTTCCCGCTTTCAGCCCGTCCTTGCCTATCACAGATACAATATCTTCGGACCATCATTTTCTGGGTCTGCCTACTTTCCTTTTGTCTTTTGGTCCGGTCCATCCAGTGGACACTCAAGTCCACTAGATGGACCAGACTCACTTGAAGTCAATAAATGTTTATTATTATTATTTGATACATATCACTAAACTATTAAATATTTCAGTACAATAGTGACACTACAAAAACCTGCTGCTAATATAAAAGTTATTGTAGTATAGTTGACTTAGCATTAAGACAGCAAGTAATAGATTTTAAGTCTTTCTTTTACTATGACTCCAACATTTAAAATTTTGGTGAGAGCTAATAAATTTAATATTTGTTTAATTTAAATTTAATTCTTAAAAGTTAATATTCTGCTGCAAATAAACACATTTCAAATATCACTAGTTACTAAAAACTCTGCTGATAATGGCTTAGGGAAAACTAATGAAATTGACATAGAATTACATAAACAAAGCTATTTCTGTTGGAGTGCTGTAGGTAGTTACCAACTTTCACTAGAAAAAATCATTATGAAAGTAAAGAAATGGTCCAAGTGTTTGACACTAAATATCATTTCTGTTCGATATATACATTTATAGAAATGTTTATTAATTAATTTATAAACAATCATAACGTTTCACTGACTCACATCTGCAAAGCTGTTAGTCAAGCAGTTAAAAACTGTACACTTTTTAACACCTTATTAGGTTACATTAAAAAATTAACAAAATATACAATGTGAAGGTTAAAAAATAATGTAAACCTAATTAAAAGTTATGACTTATATCTAAAAGAATGTTTTTGTTAATACTAACTGCAATGACGTTAACAAAAGTTGTTTTTCCAGAGTACTGCAGTCCGACCAAAGTAAGTTCCATTTCTTCCTTCCAAAACAAGCTTTTAATCCAATCAAGGATACGATTGATCAAAGCTAGCATTTTAACAAATATCACTGTACTTTTGTACACGGATTTTCACAAAATATTTTACCTACGCCTCTTTGAACTCTGAAAATTTACTACACGACTACGAATTTGACAGACATGACAAAAGCAGTGTCAAATGCGTTTAGATATAAGTTAAAATAACATTGGTTGAATAAAATTTATGCAATTAACAATGGCGTTTGAGCTTTAATACTAACTTAAAAAAAGACATTCAATTTTATTTTCAAGAATTATTATTGTTGCTGACAGGAATCGGCATGATTCTCTTTAATATACAATGGTGTCGATTCTGGGCCGATTTTCTAAATCTAAACTTTGACAACATTATTGTATTCTTGTCATTCTCTATACAGAATGAAAATTAGAGACTGATGTTAAATTTAGTTTTAAGTTTAGAGAATCACGACAGAATCGACACCAATATTACACTACAAAGCTAATATTGGTATCGATTCTGACATGATTCTCTAAACCTAAACTTAAATATCACAACAGTGGGACCAATTCTGGCGTTACATTCTCTAAACCTAAACTTAAAATTAGCGAGCTAATTTTAGTTTAGGTTTAGTGAATTGGTATTCCGAAATTGCGAACTAACTAAATTAAGATCACAAGTGACAGCTGTAATCGAGCATCTAAATTGAATTCACAGATTATGTAAAAGCATTGAACCGGTAATTATCGGTTTACTCAAATTAGCAATAAATACTTATTATTCAGTGATTTTGACTTATTTCAGTAATTCTTTGTTGTTCTTCATCATCTTTGAAATATGAAAACTTAACATAAGTTTGTTATTTTACTGTATGAGATATTTATGAATAATATTAAAGAGTGAATACTTGCCTACTCTGTGGTACTCAGGGTTTCTAGATTGGGAGTGTTTATCGTTATTTTGGGGAAAAATATGAACTTGGAGAAATTAAATCTACGGGGAGAACTTTAGGAATCATATTTTTTCTTAGAGCATGCCTAAGTTTTTTTTGGCAAAAGGAAGAAAAGAAAGCCGCCACTTTTAAAATTAAATTTAAATATAGGTACCGACTACATTTTGGTAGCTACCGAAAAATCTAATAAGGATGATTAGTGACGATAGAACGTGTCGAGTTCGAGCCGAGCTTCAGCCGTAACACGGTCACCGAGCCGGTCCCGAATTTGTAATTTACAAAGACGTACCTCGACCGAGCAATTAGGTAGGTACCGTTGCGCCGTGATGCAGTATAATCATTCAGATAAAGTAAACACGGTAAGTGTACTCGTCCGAGGAAAACGTTTCTGTTTTGTCTGAGGTATCACTACGATTGCCCGGCGGCACCGCGCCGGCGCTGTATTCATGCAACGGGCCGTGGCCGAGCCGAAGCGAGACCAAGTTTTTTCCGAGCGTTGTTTCATTTGGTGCTCGGTTGTCAGAGGGTTACCACACGGAATAGCGTGAATGTGTCCATAATCCATAAAAAATATATTATTTAATATGAGTTGACTAGAAGAGCTCGATGGCGCAGGTGGTCAGCGCGTTCGGCTGCGATCGTTGAAGTTAAGCAACTTTCGCAGTGGTCGGTCATTGGATGGGTGACCAAAAATCTTCTATCTGAGGTTTCTCCGTGCTTCCGAAGGCACGTTAAGCCGTTGGTCCCGGCTGCATCTGCAGTCGTTAGCACCCGCCAATCCGCACTGAGCCCGCGTGGTGGGTCATGGCCCAATCTCCCTATTCCATCCATAGGGAAGGCCTGTGCCCCAGCAATGGAGACATTAATAGGCTGATGATAATGATGATGATTCGTTAACTCTGCTACGGCCTACACGGTCTCACGTAAATCATCCTTGAAAATTTCCTAGGTACCTACGGTTATAAATTCCGGTTTCGGTAAGAGGTTGTAATTATCCCCTCGGCTGTTTTGTGAAGATTTTGTACTCATTTATTTTATAATCCGAGATGCGTAACCTATTTTTTTACCTTTTTTTGTTTCTATCAGTTTTTGGTGATATCGTCCTAAATCCCAATTATTCATTTGTTAAATGCCAAAAACTTTCGGATATATAAAAGCAAACTTCTCAATTACAAACAGTAGGAACTTATTTCGTGTTATGTTATTATTAGCTTATAAAAAGTGGGAAATAAAATCATTTCTAACAAATATTAAAAATTGCTTCATAAAAACAAAGTAACAAATAATAAATTAAAGTCCTACATTTTAGTCAAAATAACATTTGGATTGGAATTGGTGATTGAAATGCATATCACTGACACCATACCTATTATTTGTTAATTATTTGACTATGTACTTTAGATATAAGTAGGTACTGTAGGTATTACTTAAGGAATTAGCACATAGATATCTTACCTCTTTATTTTGTTTTTTATATGAAGTGGATTTTTATTTATGATAAAAAAGATTTGACCTTAAATTATTCAGTATTTTATACAAGATATACGTATACATTACCTACGAAGGACCACAATAACGCAAGTGTAACGCGTTCGTTCTGCGATCGTGAAGTTAAGCAACTTTCACAATGGCCGATCTTAGGATGGGTGACCAACCAAAAATGTATTAATTCGAGTTTCTATCTTGCTGCTCGCTGCATCTGCAGTCATTAGCCTAAGCTGCATTAGGCCTGCGTAGCACAGACTAGTTAGAGATATGCTGCGTAGTGACTCATGACACATTAATAGGCTCATAATAAATCCGCATCGTAACATAGACTTACCTACCTTTTAAAAAAAATAAAAGAGATAGCTAATATATTATTAGCACCGTCGTCGTTCATTATTGTACAAAATTTATGGCTTTTTTTAACGAAATAAACCCATATCCAACCTTAACAACAAGTTTAAAATTTAAGTACATCAATAATTTACCTACTATTTGGCCCGATTTATCACATTTAAATTTAGAGAGGACCTCCGTAGGTCCTTCTTAAATTTAGTGTGACATTTCTAATTTTAGAGAAAATATGACATTTAGAACGCGTTTCAGAATACCATTTAATCATCTAAATCTAAGTTGAATAACTTAGCGACGTCAATTTTAAATTTAGAGATAGGTTGTCATTACAGAATACCAAATTGAATTTGACAACTCTATATCTAATTTTAGTTAGTTTTAGATATAAGTTGGCACGCCAGAATTGGGCCCACTGTATCCTTGTCATTCTCTACACAGAATGAAAAGGAGGCTACGCGACACCATGCTAGACATATAAAATTTAAGTTTAGGTTTAGAGAATCATGCTAGAATCGACACCATTGGGACCAATTCTGGCGTTACATTCTCTAAACCTAAACTTAAAATTAGAGAGCTAATGGGACCAATTCTGGCGTTACATTCTCTAAACCTAAACTTAAAATTAGCGAGCTAATTTTAGTTTAGGTTTAGTGAATTGGTATTCCGAAATTGCGAACTAACTAAATGAAGATCACAAGTGACAGCTGTAATCGAGCATCTAAATTGAATTCACAGATTATGTAAAAGCATTGAACCGGTAATTATCGGTTTACTCAAATTAGCAATAAATACTTATTATTCAGTGATTTTGCCTTATTTCAATAATTCTTTGTTGTTCTTCATCATCTTTGAAATATGAAAACTTAACATAAGTTTGTTATTTTACTGTATGAGATATTTATGAATAATATTAAAGAGTGAATACTTGCCTACTCTATGGTACTCAGGGTTTCTAGATTGGGAGTGTTTATCGTTATTTTGGGGAAAAATATGAACTTGGAGAAATTAAATCTACGGGGAGAACTTTAGGAATCATATTTTTTCTTAGAGCATGCCTAAGTTTTATTTGGCAAAAGGTTGGGGGAAAGCCGCCACTTTTAAAATTAAATTTAAATATAGGTACCGACTAGATTTTGGTAGCTACCGAAAAATCTAATAAGGATGATTAGTGACGATAGAACGTGTCGAGTTCGAGCCGAGCTTCAGCCGTAACATGGTCACCGACCCGGTCCCGAATTTGTAATTTACAAAGACGTACCTCGACCGAGCATTTAGGTAGGTACCGTTGCGCCGTAATGCAGTATAATCATTCAGATAAAGTAAACACGGTAAGTGTACTCGTCCGACGAAAACGTTTCTGTTTTGTCTGAGGTATCACTACGATTGCCCGGCGGCACTGCGCCGGCGCTGTATTCATGCAAAGGGATGTGGCCGAGCCGAAGCGAGTCCAAGTTTTTTCCGAGCGTTGTTTCATTTGGTGCTCGGTTGTCAGAGGGTTACCGCACGGAATAGCGTGAATGTGTCCATAATCCATAAAAAATATATTATTTTATATTAGTTGACTAGAAGAGCTCGATGGCGCAGGTGGTCAGCGCGTTCGGCTGCGATCGTTGAAGTTAAGCAACTTTCGCAGTGGTCGGTCATTGGATGGGTGACCAAAAATCTTCTATCTGGAGTTTCTCCGTGCTTCCGAAGGCACGTTTAGCCGTTGGTCCCGGCTGCATCTGCAGTCGTTAGCACCCGCCAATCCGCACTGAGCCCGCGTGGTGGGTCATGGCCCAATCTTCCCATTCCATAGGGAAGGCCTGTGCCCCAGCAATGGAGACATTAATAGGCTGATGATGATGATGATTCGTTAACTCTGCTACGGCCGACACGGTCTAACGTAAATCATCCTTGAAAATTTCCTAGGTACTTTAGCGGAATTTTGCGCTCTGTCACTTGGCGAACAAAATGCTTTGAACAGTTTTCTACAGTAGTTTTTACTACGCACCGCCTTCGCGTCGGATGCGCCAATCCGGGCTGCCGCACAAAAGTAAGACAGAGAGCATTTCATTGATTGAATAATGACTTGAATTGCATTTGTTTTAGTTGCAATTTGTCATCCGCATCGTGATCGCGACAGCGCTATACGAAAAAGTAAGACAGCGATAATTACATGTCTATGAATGAATTTTTACTACGCCGCTACCGCAAGCGATTATGGCATTATGGGTGACAGAGCGGGTCTTTCCGTGAGTGTACCTACGGTTATAAATTCCGGTTTCGGTCAGAGGTTGTAATTATCCCCTTGGCTGTTTTGTGAAGATTTTGTACTCATTTATTTTATAATCCGAGATGCG